GCTCTTGGCTATAGTAAAGCCAAGTAATGAGTAGTAAGTGTGGGGGGAATGTCAGAGTTGAAAGTCCATCATTTTGCAACCATCATAGTGAATACTGCTTCAGGCAACAACCAATGATGGATACTAAATCTAGTAGGGCACTCAGACAGACCAGGCCTGGGAGCGAGGCATGGCACTTCCACACATACTCCACTGACCAAAACTCATTGACATGGCCACACCTAACTTCAAGGGAGGCTGGAAAATGTGGTATTGCTGTGTGCCTGGGAGGAAGAGAACACAGATATTGGTGAGCAACAGCAGTTCTTGTCACAAGAACTTTATATATATGTATTATATATAATGTATAAATAAAATATCGCAAATACCTATATATATATATAGGATTTATGATATTTGTAAGCTTTCAGAAATTTTGGCATACTGGATTATCTAACTGTGGTAACTAGTCTCTAGGGAGAGTCATCCAGTCAACCACACTTCCCAATATTTACACTCCTGTTCAGTCCCCTCATTGAATTTGGGCTGGTCTGTACTCATGTTAGCCAACAGAAGGGGGAGAAAGTGGCTCTGTGCCAGTTCTAGGCCTAAACTTTAAGAGGACTGGTAGCTTCTCCTTTTCCTCCATTGGGTCTCTCTCTCTTTTATCTTCAACTTTTATTTTCGATTCGGGGGTACATGTGCAGGTTTGCTGCACAAGGGTATGTTGTGTGGTGCTGAGGCTTGGGGTACAATTGAACTAGTCACCCAGGTAGTGAACATAGTACCTGATAGGCAATTTTTCAGCCCTTTCCCCTATCCCTCTCTCCCCCATCTTGTAGTCCCCAGTGTCTACTGTAGAACTCTCACTTTTGAAAGTCATGTGGCATCATGTGAGTAGTCTGGCTGTCCTGCTGGAGAATCCATGTGGAGATGCCACTTGGAGAAGGGACACTTGGGGCTGGCTGGTGAGAGAGAGGCCCGGCTGTCCCAGCACACTCCAATCAAGCCTCCAGGTGGTGCCTGCCCCAGGTCCTGCACGACTACAACTGAATGAGAACTGCCCAGCTAAGCCCAGTCAACCCACAGACTCTAAGAGGAAGTAAGATGGTGGTTATTCTAAGCCACCAAATTCTGGGGCAGTTTGTTTCATAGCAACAGATAGTTGAAACACCAGCAGCTAAGACTTACGATACAAATTTAAACTGAATGATTGATTGAGATGTGTGATTCTTTTAATATGAAAAGTAGAAGGGAAATTATGTATAGAAACAACATGGTAATGCTAAGATAATATAAGATTCACCATTGTTTTGAGTCTTGTTTATTATATTTATAAAAGCTACCTAAATATTTGGTAAGATTCTATTAGTCAGATAATTAAGTGCTTACAAAGCAAATAAAATAGATTAAATTGATTGATGCATTTTAATGTTCATGAGTATTTAATCAGCAAATTTCTTTCTTAAAAATGGTGCTGAAGTTTTCTAGATGTATAACTAGAATAACAAAATTTGTAAGTTGAAGTAAAACACTTAAGAAATACTAGATTTCTTAGCCAGGCATGGCAGCATGCACATGTAGTCTTAGCTACTGAGGAGGTTGACATGGAAGGATTGCTTGAGCTCAAGAGTTTGAGGCTGCAGTGAGCTATAATAGCACCACTGCACTTCAGCCTGGGTGACAGAGTGAGATTCTGTCTCTGAAAAAAAAAAAAGAAAAGAATTAAAAGAATTAAAATATTTAAGAAAATAACAAAAGAAGTATTAGATTTTAAAATTATTATTCAGAAAATCAAATATTAATTAAAATCTCCAAAGTAATTACAGATTATCTTGTGTGTGTGCGTGTATGTGTGTTAGTGCTACCTAAAACCATGCTTTCGGGGATATTGTTGAGGACTTTTAAGCCCAGGGACTTGGATCTGATACATTTCCAGAATCTCCAGTTTTCATGCTTTGCTCTCATTGCTTCTTTTTTTCTCTGCCTATGTGAGTACCTCAGTGAGTATCTCACTTTCTCAGTGAGAATCCACGCAAGGAAATTAAGGAACAGCCTCTTCCCCTTGGCTTGAGAAGCAGCTATACCTGGGTGAAATGTTTCATAGCTCTTTAGCATGCTTTCAATTATGATTTTTGTTTTGCTCTATTTTATGGTGGAGATGGAGTCTTACTATGTTGCCCAGGGTGGTCTTGAACTCCTGGCCTTAAGTGATCCTCTTGCCTCACCTTCTCTAAGTTTTGGGATTACAGGCATGAAGCACTGCACCTGGCCTGAGCATGCTTTCAATCTAGCTTTTTTTTTTTTTTTTTTTTTTTTTAAATAGAGAACAATATCAGACCCAATAAAGTGATCTTGGCTGGGAGACCCATGCTGGCTGTCTTACCCCATGATAGGAGATTTAGGACTAGATAGCTATAGATAAATTTCTAAAATAGTAACCCTGACCCCAGAAGGGCTCATAATCCTAATGCACACAGAGGGGCAGAGTTCATTCTAGAATGCATTCCTGGACTTTCCTCCTCAGTTTGTTCTAGACCCTCCCACATGGTTGATGGATGGCTAGAACATTGGCTTTTGTCCCTGCTTATAGCACCTGAGACAGTTTCAATACCTGTTTTCAGGGAAGAATTGTATCTCTTACTCATGTGACACCTCTGTGTTCCTAGAACAGTGTTACTCCCACCAGTGATGATGCAGATGAGGGGAAGGCCAAAGGCAGAATTGAGAGAACTCTAGATCCAGAAACTTGACAATGTGTTTGGCAGATAGGTCGTAGGACAAAACAAAACAAAACAAAACAAAAGACAGTCATTTCAGAAACCTGATGTCAGAATTCCAAAATTCCAACTTAGGGACCGGGTTTTCCATGATGGATTTTGTTTTTAAGGGTATAGAGATAGGGAATGAAGATTTTTGAAATAACATGTAAAGCCTTATTCTGGGGCAGTCGACGAGAAATTATCAGTCTTCATGTGTTATATGTTGGCTCCTCACTGTGTAGACTCAGTCTCCGAACTAAACAGAACCCAGGTAGCCAGCATGCACATAAAGCAGGCAGGGAAGCCCGTCCTGGTTTGATTCCTCTGATTGGGTCATTCAGACTCAGAGGCAGTGTGAGAGGGGCGTGGGGTGCCCAGATGACACAGCTCTTACAGACCCATCAGGTTAATTAACCGAAAGGCCTGGCAGAGATTTGGTCAGGCAAGGAGGATGCTGTGATGTCTTTGTGGTTCTGGCAGTTTAGTAAAGAAGAGCGAGGAACTGCTAAGGATGAAGTCAAGCAGTGCCAAAAAGCCCCCTGACTGTTCAGAGGGGTGGGCATGAGAGGGTGGGAGTTAGATATGTGCAGAGAAAGAGAAAGAAAGGAGGAAGGAGGAGAAACAGGAAAAGGAAGGAGGAGGAAGGAAGTATTATGTTAAGCTCTGTCGATATCTAAATTTAGTGTCTATGTTTAGACAGCCAATAATTTATTTCCAGGCCTGTGAAATCACTTATTCTGCCCTACTGTCTATGTGAAATCTCATACACACTTCACAGAAATGGATTAGATCACTGAGGCTGGATTTTAACCCACGCTCCTTGGCACTGGCAGTGCCGGCATTTCTGTGTAGGAAGTACTCAGGGGTAGTAATTTAGTGGGAAGAGCGTGGCAGGCTAGAAGACTTGCATTGAAATCATGCTTGAATAGTGAGCATGCTTTTTAAAAAAGCTTACACTGTGTGCTTATTTGTGAGGGGTTGAAAGGGATCTAAAGTCTCCTCAGTTCTCCCCAAATCCTCCCTGGCACCTATGCCTAGAATAGGCTGCTGCAATTGCTACGTTGTGAGAACACTGTCTGTGTCCCTGGCCGAAGTGGCTGGCAAAACTGTGGCTAAACTGACCACAGACTGGCAGCAAGGCAGCCATACCCAATGAAACTCCCAAGGTCCTTCTAGATGTGTGAATTCCCCTTTTATCAAATCACCTGGATACTTTATCCAAGCCACCTTAACTTAAAGTCAGTTTTTCTCTTGGTTCTTTAATGATCTTTCCATGCCAGAAATGTGAGAACCTCAGCTTTTTATATGTTTCACTTGTATGATTTTAAAAGGCAGAATGTCTAGGTTGATTTTAAGACAGTGGGCAGTTTTCATTGACGGTCTCCATCCTTCCAGCATCCTATTCTAAACTAACACCACTTGAAGTGTGGTCCTGGGACCAGCAACGTCAACATCGCTTGGGAGCTTAGAAATGCAAATTCTTAGGCCCCACTCCAAATGTACTGAATCAGAATCTCCGAGTCTGGGGTCTAGAAGTCTGTGTTTTAACAAGTTTTCCACATGATTTTGTTGCCATCCTAAAGTTTAAGAAGCACTGTTCTAAAGTACTTCATTTGTCATTTTGCATTTTTTCCCCTTTTCGTACTGATACTGTTAATTACTGACTAAAAATTTTTTTTTGAATATAAAGGTAAAAATTAAATATTTGCTCAAGCAAGGTAATTTGAGAGTTGCTGCAACATTTTACATGCCCAAAAGATACCTCTAAAACATGATGTTGCCATGGCACTGTCTCTGTTCTTGTTAGTTTCCACATTGTGAATGAACGAATGAAAGAGAATCTTTAATATGCTTTAGACATCAAGACCCAGGAGGAAAGGGGCTTGTGTTACTTAGCATTTTGCTTCAGCTGCTATGCAAAGAGAGAACTAAAGTAATAATGGAAATTCGCTGGGTGCAGTGGCTCATGCCTGTAATCCCAACACTTTGGGAAGCCTAGGATCACCTGAGGTCAGGAGTTCGAGACCAGCCTGGGCAACACGGCAAAACCCTGTCTCTACTAAAAAACAAAAAAATTAGCCAGGTGTGGTGGCACACACCTGTAATCCCAGTTACTTGGAAGGCTGAGGCAGGAGAATAGCTTGAACCTGGTGGGTGTAAGTTGTAGTGAGCTAAGATCACAACACTGCACTCCAGTCTGGGCAGCAGCAGGAGATCATGTCTCAAATAAACAAACAACAACAACAAAAAAGGAAATTGATTAGTCACATTAAAAGTTCATTTCTCTTTCATATAAAAGTCTAGATGACCAGCATTGCAGCTCTGCAATTATCAGGAACCCAGGTCCCTTCAGTCTTGCTGCTCTGCCATCCTCAAACTGCATCTTCTATCTTGTGGTCCAACATGGCTGTCTGTTCCAGCTCCCACCATCACATCTGTATTTTAACCAGTAGGAGAAGAGTAAAGGGAAAGGAATCATACTTAAATTGATAATGATGAGACAACATCATTGTCACAGAAGAGCCACAGAAGAGGCATATCCATGGTACACTGGGTACTGCGTTGATCTTGAGTCTCCTAGGCATTCCTCTTCTTTTTTTTTTTTTCCAAGACAGGGTCTGGCTCTGTCACCAGGCTGGAGTCCAGTGGTGCGATCTCGGCTCACAGAAACCTCCACCTCCCAGGTTCAAGTAATTATCCTGCCTCAGTCTCCCGAGTAGCTGGGACTACAGGTGTGCACCACCACACCCAGCTAATTTTTATATTTTTACTAGAGATGGGGTTTCACCGTATTGGCCAGGATGGTCTCGATCTCTTGACCTCATGATCCACCTGCCTTGGCCTCCTAAAGTGCTGGGATTATAGGCATAAGCCAGCACACCGGACCCATTCCTCCTCTTTTTTTTCACTCTTCTTGTTTCGTTTAAGGACTGATCTTGCGGGTTGCATCTCCCAGGTTCCCCTGTCAGTGACCTTACCTGGATTCAGCCAATGGGAAAAAGGGAGAAGCTGAAATGCAGCTGCAGTGATGACTGCACTTTATGGATCCACTCCGGCTGGCCACGGGTTCTAGTAACATGGACTTCCTTCTTTCTAGTACGTGGGTGGTTGTAGCTTCTTTCCGGCTGTTAATCTCTACGTTGCTTCACCATCCTGTTTGAGTTTAACTCTTCCATCACCTGGAATCAATTCTTTATATTAAAACCCCCCAGTTGTAAGTAGTTAAGGCAGTCAGACCCTGGCTGACACAGGAAGGGGTAGTCTACCTAGGGAGAATTCATAGAGGAAGTCACGTTTGTACTAGATCTTTAAGTTTTGCTGACTGATTTCCATTAATTAATTCCAGTGTGGTCATTCTGGACTCTGGTCTAGAGAAGATATAGGGGAGAAATGGTTTGGAGCTCTGATCACTCAGCTAGGATTAGCAGAACCTAGGACTGTGGGTTACAACTGTTTCTAACGCAGAGTTTCTCACCCTCAACACTATTGACATTTTGGGCCAGAAACGTCTTTGTTGAGGTGCTGTCTTATGCATTGCAGGATGTTTAGCTGCATCCCTGGCCTCTATTCATTAGACACCAATAGAATCCCCCCATCTTGCCTAAGTTATGACAACCAGAAATGTCTCTAGACATTGTCAAATGTCCTGGCAGTGGGGGCTGTAAAATGTCCCACGTTGACAACCATTCTTCAAGTTTTGCTGATGGCTCAGCATCCAAGTTCCACACAGGAGAGCCCTTTGATTCTAAAGGTCAGAAAGGCACTACCTTCCAAAAAGAGCAGCTGCTACCCTGCCCTCTCCTTCATCTCTACTTCCCTCAGCCAGCAGGTGCCTCCATTTTTGATAAACACTGTCTACTAGAGAACAATGATCCCATAGTCTGGAAGGGAGTGTCAGGGCCAAGCCATTGTCTTCCTGCCAAGAGCCAGTGATACAGGAAATGGGGAATCATCAACCATTACAATACTGTAATTCTCTTTGGAGTTTTGAGATAAAAGTTGCAGAGCTCTGAAGGATGTTTACTTTTATCCTTCATGATAAACCTTTTTTTCATAAGACAAATTTTCTGCCTCTTACCACCTTAATACACACCTATCCTGGTCTATTGAACAAAAAGGAACAAAAATACTTCTTTGAGAAATAACAACATGCCCACTAATATCACCATTCCATCAAGAGCTGCCTATGACAAGCCAGACATTGTGTATGGATGTCAATGTATCTGGTTAATCTTCACAATAAGCTTACAACGTAAATATGTTTTTCTCAGTTTTATAGCTAAAGAACCTACTTGCCTAAGAAAACAGTTAGTGTTGGTGAGGGGCATCAAAATTTCCCTTTTCAGTTTAAGATAATGGCCATACCTCACGCTTGCATTGTGCTTTATGAGTTTGTAACTATTATTTTACATATATTATCTAAGTTATACTTATAGCTTAAGTACTATGGGAATTCAGAGAAGCTATAAAATGTTTGAGGTGGATAGAGAAAGTTTCCTAAAGAACTGGGGTGATCGGAGGAAGTTTCATAAAGAAAATAAGCTGGTCCCTCAAACTGATGTATATCTGAATACTTATTGCTAGTGGTGTTGGTGGAGGTGGTAGTGAATGGTTCATTTTAGACAGAAAACATGAGCAAAGATCCAGAGTTAAGAATAAAGAGAGCAAATGCCCCGAGTTAAGAATAAAGGGGTGTGCAGGGGAAGCAAGGGAATAGGCTTTCCCAGCAGGAGCTGATGATTCATGATGGTGCGGAGAGAGAGAGGGTGGGGATGTCTAGGGGATCAATGTATACGGAACCTAGAGATCCAGACGAGGGAGTTTGGATATTATGAAACAGCCACTGAGAGATGATTGAAGTTTGTAAGCAGAAATGAATATTTTACATCCTACTCAGGTGTCACTTCCTCGGAGAAGCCTTGTCTACCCCCTCCCTTGTGTTCTGCTTTGGGTGTCAGTCTCCCATGGTGCCCTGATACTTTTCTTGATCATGGCCATCTAAGACTGTGAGCTCCTGGAGGACAGAGCTCTGATTTACCATCTTTGTGTCCCCAAGGCTTGGTACATAGTAGGACCTCAGTAAATAGACTAAGTGATGAATAAATGCACCCTGACAGGGAACCACATCCTCCTCTGACTTCTCAGGGCCATTTGAGGATGGATTTCCAGGAGCAGAAGTCACTGGACATGTGAAAACACAGGTTGTGAATGCAGGAAGGTACACAGATGGAATCTCAGTGCTTTCTTAAAGAGGTTCACTTCAGAAGGGCATAGCTGCAGGGTAGATGAACCGAGAAATTTTCGGGTTGTTGAGAACAAGGAAATGTGGGTGAGAATCACCAAGTTCATCAAAATGTATTTGAAAAGCATGACCATCTTCACTCATCTCGAAATTTGGCATGTTTCAGACATTGTGAGACAATTAGTCATTGCTGTTGCTTCAACTAATGTCCACTGCTTTTCTGTAGGAAATAAAAGTCTTATTCTTAATCTAAAACACCAAAAAATATTCTTCCAGATGTTTTCCTCTTCCTGCATTTCCCCCCACTCCCCACCCAGTCACATTGGCATGTGGACATGTTCTCACCAAGTGAGTCAGTTAGATAGGAACATTAGTTTATTTGAGCAGATGTCACTTTAAAAAACAACATTGCACCATGGCACAAAGCTTACAAATAATGTCTGTCATGTAGCAGTGGTGCTAATATAAAGAAAAGGGGTAATTTTGGTGAATTCAGAGAAGATAAGATTACTATAATTATGGGAAACTGCTTCTAAATAATCCCAGAAAAAAAGAAAGGCTGTTTTGTCTCATGTTGAGATAGGGGAAGGAGGAGGGGGGAAGCTTGGCAAGGAGGCAGGCTGTCAGAGGGGAGGAGGTGGAGAAGGCAGTGTTTAGTGGTGTGTTCACGTGGCTGACTTAGCCTGTGTTGAGCAGAACACTTCCCCTAAAAGTACCTGAGATCTTTGAAGGTCACTGGGGGGAAATATCCAAAAGTTTGCTCAGGATAAACTACAATTCTCCATCCTCACAGGTTGCCTAAATCTAATCCATCTTTCAAAGCCCTGCTCAAATCCTTTGCTTTCATGAAACCATACATTTCAATCTAGCTTATAGGACCTTTTGCCTCTTGAATGTAGGCAGAGAGTCATTTGGCAATTAGGGTGAGTTTTATGACTTTAGCGTTGATAAACTATCTTTTATTGTTATTTACTTTTTTGTATGTTCATATACTGATTCCCTAATAAGGTTGACATCTCCTTGAATGGAGATACGGTTGTGTATATCACCCTGGGGTCCCACACAGTGCCTTACATGAAGTAGGCCCTTAATGCATGTTGGTTGATTGATTCTGTATTAATGTGAATGGCTGCCAGCTATGGTGGTCCACTTATGTGAGGGGGGTCTGATGAATTAAAAAGAGGAAGGAAACTAGCATCCATCAAGCACCAGTGAACCAGGTCCTTCACTGGGATTAGATGATCTTAATTTACTTATTTAAAAGAGAGGTCCCCAACTCCAGGTCTGTGGACTGTTAGGAATGGGGCTGCACAGCAGGAGGTGAGTGGCAGGTGAGTGAGCCACGTTTCATCTGTATTTACAACTGTTCCCCATAGCTCGCATTACTGTATGAGCTCCACCTTCTATCAGGTCAAGGGCAGCATTAGATTCTCATAGGAGCATGAACCCTATTGTGAACTCCACATGCAAGGGATCTAGGTTGCATGCTCCTTATGAGAGTCTAATGCCTGATGATTTGTCACTGTCTCCCATCACCCTCAGATGGGACCTCCTAGTTGCAAGAAAACAAGTTCAGTGTTTCCACTGATTCTACATTATGGTGAATTGTATAATCATTGTATTATATATTACAATGTAATAATAATAGAAATAAAGTACACAATAAATGTACTGTGCTTGTATCATCCCGAAACCATATCCCCTGACCCCATCTGTGGAAAAGTTGTCTTCCACAAAACTGGTCTTCACACCAAGAAGGTTGGGGATCACTGATTTAAAACACCATGGAAGAGACATCCTAATTAAGGATGAGCAAATACAGATGCAGGGAAATTAAAAGTGGGTTTCCCAAGCCCACAAAACTCTTAACTGACAGAAGCTAAAATGTAATCTTAGACTTGTCTGATTCCAAAGTTTCAGATAAATTTTAATGCCCCCAATATCTTCCCTTTTCATTTGGCTGATAACAAAGTGTGGCAGTTTTATCCTAGTAGCTTGAGACTTTGACACCTGTTGAATTAAAAACACTCCTAGGGAGCACCCAGATTCATCAAGTAAGTTCTTAGAGAACTACAAAGAGACTTAGTCTCTGACACAATAATAGTGGGAGACTTTAACACCCCACTGTCAATATTAGACAGATCAATGAGACAGAAAATTAACAAGGATATTCAGGACTTGAACTCAGCTCTGGGTCAAGCAGACCTAGTAGACATCTGCAGAACTCTCCACCCTAAATCAACAGAATATACATTCTTCTCAGCACCATATCGCACTTACTCTGAAGTTGACCACATATGGGAAATAAAACACTTCTTAGCAAATGCAGAAGAACGGAAATCATAACAAACAGTCTCGGACCACAGTGCAATCAAATTAGAACTCAGGATTAAGAAACTCACTCAAAAACCATACAACTACTTAGAAACTGATCAACCTGCTACTGGGTAAATGATGAAATTGAGGCAGAAATAAGTTATTTGAAACCATTGAGAACAAAGACACAACATACCAGAATCTCTGGGACACAGCTAAAACAGTATTTAGAAGGAAATTTATACCCACAGAAGAAAGCGGGAAAGATCTAAAATCGACACCCTAACATCACAATTCAAAGAACTGGAGAAACAAGAGCAAACAAATTCAAAGGCTAACAGAAGACAAGAAATAACTAAGATCAGCACAGAACTGAAGGAGACAGAGACACACAAAAAAACTTTAAAAAAATCAGTGAATCCAGGAGCTGCTTTTTTGAAAAGATTAACAAACTAGATAGACCCCTAGCTAGACTAATAGAGAAGAAAAGGAGAGAAGAAGCAAATAAACACAATAAAAAATGATAAAGGGGTATCACCACTGATCGCACAGAAATACAAGCTACCATCAGAGAATACTATAAACACCTCTATGCAAATAAACTAGAAAATCTAGAAGAAA